AGCAGCAGCGTCGATAGCTCCAACGGAAAACGATGTAAACAACGGAAACATCGCCGGAATCGGCGGTGGAGAAGGAAGCAGCGGCGGCGGAGGAGGTGGAGGAGGGAAAGGGAAGAGAGAGAGGGAGAAGGAAAAAGAGAGAACGAAGCTTAGAGAAAGACATAGACGAGCAATCACTAGTAGAATGCTCGCCGGATTAAGACAGTACGGTAATTTTCCGTTACCGGCGCGTGCTGATATGAATGACGTAATCGCTGCTTTGGCTCGTGAAGCTGGTTGGAGTGTTGAAGCCGATGGTACTACTTATCGGCAATCACAGCAACCAAATCATGTGGTTCAAACTTCGAAACTCTCTCTCTCAAAATTCAAACTTTCATATTAAGCTATTTAAGTTAGGGTTTAGTGGAAAGATGATAAATTTGATCCCAAATATGTGTGAAGCTCTTAAAGTTATAAGCTTTGTTCTGTTATTAATGTAACATAGATTGTTTAATATTATTGGATTAGGTACAGTTTCCGACGAGATCTATTGAGAGTCCACTTTCTTCTAGTACATTGAAGAACTGTGCTAAGGCTGCAATTGAATCTCAGCAGCATTCAGTTCTTAGGAACGATGAGAAACTTGCTCCTGTGTCTCTTGATTCTATTGGTATTGCCGAGAGTGATCATCCCGGGAATGGAAGGTATACTAGTGTTAGTCCTATCACCTCCGTTGGATGCTTGGAAGCCAATCAGGTGAATGATAAATTCATTTCCTTATTAGGAGAATTGACTTTAAGCTGGACGTTGTTTCATCTAACCACTTTGTTTTTCTTTCAGCTTATACAAGATGTTCATTCCGCAGAGCAATGTAATGACTTCACAGAGAGCTTTTATGTCCCTGTGTACGCCATGCTTCCAGTGAGCTTCTGATGAGAGAACTTTGTGTTTTAAGTGTATATATATGGATGTTGCCCAATAAAAAAGAGTGTACATATATTTCTTACCAGTTTTGCCGCGATCCTTAGTTTTCCTGTGCTAAAGTTCTGTACCTTGTCTTTCAGGTTGGCATTATAGACAACTTTGGCCAGTTGGTTGATCCTGAAGGTGTAAGACAAGAATTAAGTTACATGAAGTCATTAAATGTCGATGGAGTAGTAATAGATTGTTGGTGGGGAATAGTTGAAGGATGGAACCCTCAGAAATATGTATGGTCTGGCTATAGGGAGCTCTTTAACCTTATCAGAGACTTCAAACTTAAGCTACAGGTGTGAATATTTTTACTTGTAGAGCTTTGTTAAATACATCCTATGTGACCAAACTGTGACTTTCCCTATAAAGGACCGTCTTTTTCATAATATCTTAGCAATCAGTATATGGTTTGTTTGAAGGTGGTGATGGCATTTCATGAGTATGGAGGGAATGCATCTGGGAATGTGATGATTTCGTTGCCACAGTGGGTGTTGAAGATTGGGAAAGACAATCCAGACATTTTTTTCACTGATCGTGAAGGAAGAAGAAGTTTCGAGTGTTTGAATTGGAGCATTGACAAGGAACGGGTATTGCATGGACGAACTGGTATAGAGGTACTCAAAGAACACTCATTGCTCAGAAATTGTTCAGTATTTTGGTATATTATGTCTCATTTCCTCCTCTTTTGTACTGTCTAGATTCTTATTTCTTCCTTTTCAACACTTGATTATCCAGGTCTATTTTGATTTTATGAGAAGCTTCCGGTCAGAGTTTGATGACTTGTTTGTGGAAGGACTAATTACTGCGGTTGAGATTGGTCTTGGAGCTTCTGGTGAACTAAAGTACCCATCTTTCCCAGAAAGGATGGGTTGGATTTATCCCGGTATCGGTGAGTTTCAGGTATTTTTCAGATTGCTGAACTTTACTTCTACGTTCTAACTTATGACTAGTGAAGTTAACATATCAATTTACTATTTTTCCTATTGCAGTGTTATGACAAATATTCGCAATTGAGTCTGCAAAAGGAAGCAAAGTCACGAGGATTCACTTTCTGGGGTAAAGGACCAGAGAATGCTGGTCAATACAGTTCTCATCCACATGAAACTGTGTTCTTCCAAGAAAGAGGTGAATATGACAGCTATTATGGCCGCTTCTTCTTAAATTGGTACTCACAATTGCTAATTGGTCATGCTGAGAATGTTCTGTCTCTTGCAAATCTCGCATTTGAGGAGACGAAGATTATTGTCAAGGTATAATCCTTTTGGCACTTATCCTTCAAACCCAGTGATGCCTATAACAATGAGACTCATACACCAAAAACAACAATGCAGATACCGGCAATATACTGGTCATACAAGACAGCTAGTCATGCTGCTGAATTAACTGCAGGATACTACAACCCTTCAAACCGTGATGGGTACTCTCTTGTTTTCGAAACTCTGAAGAAATATTCCGTGACTGTGAAGTTTGTGTGCCCTGGGCCACAAATGTCTCCCAATGCGCATGAAGAAGCATTAGCTGATCCAGAAGGTTTAAGTTGGCAGGTAATGACACTTTTTATTGATGACTATAGCTTTTTTTACTTCTCAGCAAATGTAATCTTAACCCTAAAGTTTTGGTTATTTGTGGCAGGTGATCAACGCAGCTTGGGATAAGGGACTTCAAATCGGTGGAGAGAATGCGATTACTTGTTTCGACAGAGATGGTTGTATGAGATTAATCGATATAGCTAAACCAAGAAACCATCCAGATGGCTATCACTTCTCCTTCTTCACATATCGTCAACCTTCTCCTCTGGTTCAAGGATCTACTTGCTTTCCAGATTTGGACTACTTCATTAAACGCATGCATGGTAAGATTTACCCGCACGCTTGATTGTGCCTTCCCTTTAGATTCGTTGTCAAAATCTTTGTTCTTACAACTATATTTGTTTCTTTGCAGGCGACATAAGAGATAAACAGTTTTAGGATTTGCATGGTCTTAGGATTCTTTTAGTAAGTGTCTTTTGTTTAAAACTTCAAAATCTGTTTTGTTTTGTTTATTCTCTCCTCAAGGCCTATATTTAAGACGATTGATCTTGTAATCTTTAAACACCTTAACACTTCACTAGTTGAAGATGAACTAACTAATTAAATTCTTAAATGCATTCTAATCCGACTCGCGTAAAGTAGACACTTGTTTAGTTTTATTTTGAAAAATACAAGAAGGTATTGATGTCTAATGAATACAACCGAAAAGTGTTGCCTAACTCTTATACCTTTTTGTCTAAATTATTCTTAGAATAACCTTTTTGACTATATATGCCCGAATCCGATTACATTAATGGTATTAATAATTTTTGTTCAAAGTTACATTTTTCTTTTGTATCATTCAAATAATATTCTGATAAAATCCTGATTTTTCATGATTGTATTTGACATTTTAGATCCAACCAAATCTTTGAAGAACAAATAAAGAGGGGAAAAAAAGACCAACATGTCCTTTTGCATTCAGTGTTAATTCATGGACAATATAATGTTGGTCCGTACGAAAATTTGATTTTGTATCTAAAGAAGCATAAGAAATAGGGTTAGTTAACCACAACGAACAAAGCCTCTATTATACATATCTAAATGTGGGATAATGAGGCAAAATGTCCAATATGATTAATGAAAAAGATGGAAAAAAAGTCTTAGGTGGTGTGTGATTTAAACTGTGTTTTAATTACTTTAAATGATATGAAAAATCTGTTATTATTTAATCAAGATTCTATTAAATTCTGTTAAAGTTTTTTTTTTAGTAGTAGAGGGGAAACAACCGTCTCCCGCAATTTATTGAAACTGAAAAGAAATTACAAAACGGTAGGCGGGTGAGCCTCGGAAACGCAGTTCCTCGGACATCCTCCCTTACAATCTCCTCCACCAATGAGGGAGCTAAATCAAACTAATGAATACCTAAAGATAGATTAAAAGCATAGTTCGCTAACCCGTCTGCAAGGCTGTTAGCCTCCCTATATACATACGGTTAGCTTCTCTGTTTTAGTTTGATGTTATTAGTTTTTGATTTATTAAAAAATCTTTAAAACTCTTAATAAATTTGGATTTATTGGAATTATATTTTAAAGTCATTGAAAATTTTGTGTTATTCAACTAAAACAAAAAAAATATTTGATTGTTAATGAATTAAATTATTCTGTTATTGGTTTATGATTTTCTATATTTTTACTAACAAAATAAAATCATAAAAAGTATAATCGAATGTTTGACAAAAAAAGTATAATCAAAATAGAGATATTGTTTGAAAAACTTTACAAGATTGTGAAAAATTAATTTACATGATTATAGAAAACTCTCTAGCAATAGTTTATCAACAATGATACATTTTTTTTGCTTTAATTGAATATCACAAAATTTTAGCTATAAAAACATGAATCTGATAATTCCAAGAGTATGAATATTTTAGATTATATTTTATAAATCTTAAAACTAATAAAATCAAACTTTAACAAACAAAAAAAAATGAAAATGTTGATTAAATAACAAAAGATTTTACATAATATTAGAAGTCACTAAAACTCTATTTAAATCACAAACCAATAACATCATCAAAATAAACAAAAGAAAAATATACGTCATCAACGGCGTTTACTATTCTGAACGAAATTGTATAAATCTCATCATCACTAACCTAAAACCAGCATAAACCCTAAAATTTTCTCAAAACCCCATAAACGGTAAACCATAAAGCTTCAAAATTTACAGAGTTTCCATCAGAATCTGTTGATATCTAAATTCATTTACCCGTTAAACATTAATAAATAATAACTGATAAAGAATTCGAAAACAATATCTATATAGCTCAAAAACCCTAGATCCTAACATTTCAAAAACAAAAACATTATTCTTAAAGCTTCGAAACTAAAACAAAGACTTAAAAAGTAAGGAAAAAAACAACAAATTATCTTGATTTAGATAAAACCCAATCAATCAAATCACACAGTTTTCAACAAAAAAATTAGACGAACAACAAACAGAATAATTGTGTCAGATCTGATAGTTGGATCCTTATTTTTTCACCTCGGACTCCGATTCAGTTGATACAAGACGGGAGCTCACAAACCAACCATGACAAGACACGTGTCGGTGTCAGCCAATCAGTTCCCGACCTGCACCAAGCGAATCCGAGACCGCCGGTAACTTTAACAATCATCGCATCTCTCTCTCATCAGAAAAAGGTGAAAGAGAATAAGGAGGAGAAAACAGTTACCAAATCCGGCAAATATTTTTTCTGTGATTTTTAGGTCTTTCTCAACTATCGATAATACTTTAGCAGCCTCCTTTAGTGGTATTTAATGAAAATGATAAACCAATTATTTGTCTACGCGTGTCTCTTTGAAAAGTCTTCTGTTTCTATATCTGCACGTTGACCTAACGTCGGAACTCGTCACCTGTGACTGTCACGTGCATGCGTCTAAATCAACTATTTAGATTTTTGAGCATTACTAGTGACTATGTGATTATATAAATATTGACATAGGGAAAAAAATCACACAAGGATTTGTATAAACAAAACTTTATTTATTACCAAATACATACAAATCCCGGTTCAGTCCGGTTTGGCTAGATTAATAATTACATTCTTAGAGAGGATTTTTTGCTTAACCAACATAGTTCACAAACTCTGGTGGCGAGGGGAGTGAGCCACCATGGAGCAAAGCGAAGACCGAGCCGACGGTGTTAAAGACTCGTGGGACCACAATTCGAGCAACTCTTGGTAGAGTCGGGTAAGTAAGAGTACCAACGATAAACCAGTTGAGACTCATAAGAGCAACTGCATCTAAAGCCGGTTTATTCTTAACCGTAGAGAAAAATTGAACCACACTTTTCAAAGAGATACCAACCACTGTGAAGAGTGCTCCTATAAGTGGAGTACACAGCTCTTGTTCTTTGGCTTCATACATTACTATACCCACCACTAGAGCGAGCATCGCGCTGAATACGCTTCTTGAAACCGCAATGTTCTTCTCTAAACCGAGGACTCTTGGCGTCAATTCTTCGTCTTTTGGAATTGTCGATTTCGCAAACGGGTAAAGAGGTGATTTAACCGATGTAAACTCGGCTTTTCCCTTTGATGCATAAGGGATATTCTTAGGCTTATGTATGCTACGGATTTCGCTTGGTTCTTCACTTGGTTTAACTTTGCCCTTCTTGCTCCTATAGTCTTTTCCATTAACTTCCATCAGTTGAAGATTTTCCTCCTTTAGTTCTTGTAGCTGCCAAAATCCAAATGTTTAGAACATATGTATATGTGGTTATGCAACATGTCTACTAAACCAGTTTTTGTACCTCGGCCTCTAGCTTTTCTATTTTGGAAATGGCTTCATCATGTTCATCTTCTAGTTCATCTAAGTCCTGTTCCATGATTCGATATTCTTTTATTGCTTCCCGGAGATTCTTCTCTATCTCTTTTCTATTCCATTCAAGACTCTCTAGCTCATACCTCAAATCATAAATACTCTGCTCAAGCTGGAAATACAAAATATCTTCTTCTTTTTTGTTAAATTATACATTAAAAGATCTAGCTCAATCAAAATGTAACCATTATTATGACTCCTCAAAAGGGTAACTATAAAAACAACTGAAAATCCTCAATTTTCCATTTATTCATAACCAATCAAAGGTTACTGAAACTACTAAAGTTTACCTAACCTTAAGGATCAAAACAATCAAAGGTTACTGAAACTACTAAATTCTCATAAATCTTTAGGATCAGTACCAAATCTTTGCACATTCAATCAAAGTGAATAAGATAACGAACCAGTCTTTCCCTTGGTATAGAGGCGAAAAAGCGAATCGGGAACGTAAAAAGAAGAACGGATCCCCAGATAGAGCCCCGTACAGCTCTCCACAGCATACTTAAGTTGAACCAAATTGCAGAAGTCACCATATCAGTAGATACAAAGGTTGTAACAAGAGCTGTTCTAAGACAGAACACACATGCGTATATGCAGAAAAAGAAAGGTCTGGTCATAAGATATAATGAAGATGAGACCAACCCAGAAATCAAACCTCCAAGATCCATTTGTCTTAACCAAATTTTTTTCCCCTACAAAAATATGAACACACAAACTTTGAGTCACTGCTCAATGGATTTTCCAAAATAAGGTCAAGATTTTTGAAAGTTCAAATTTCCAATCTTAATAAAGCTAATGAACCAAAATGATTCTAGTTTTTATTGAAGCGATATCCAAACTCTGATAGAATCTTATAATAGAAGAAATTAGAAGCTTACCTTTTTTAAGGTAAGAGTAAGAGCCAGAAGTTGTAACAGAGTATGAAGTGAAGAGAAGAAAAATGATAGGGACAAAAACAGAGAGGTGGCAGAGAGAGGAAAGCAATGGACGACACGTTGAGTGATGAGTGTATTTCTCAAGTCATTTGGATAAAGATCAGAGCTTTGAAATTCTTCTAGTTATCAGAGAAAGTCAAAACTTAAAATACATTTCTGTTATAAAAAAAAGTACAATAAAAATGAATAATTAACTATAAAATATAAAAATAACAAAAAGATTAACTTAGATTAATGGTATGGGTTTTGTCGGAATTGATAATCAGTCAATCGTTTTTCTTTAGTTATCAAAGATGTGCTTTTGTTTACAAATAAGGCTTTTTGGTTAGGACAAGTCTAGTATCGTTTGAATTCAGATAACTAACAAGCTGTTTCACTGTTATACAAACAACAAAGCATTAATTACAATACCACTTACAAAATAGAGGATGCACATTTGCAGAATGATGTGCAATAAGTGAATGTTGAACAATTCACCAATATGATCGAATAATAGGAGCTGACGTTATTGTTGTTGTAATAAAAAAAGCAATACCAAATAGTCAAATACTATTGTAAGAAAATCAAAAGTGTCTACATCTGTAAATGTACATACTACTTGTAAAAAATTCAAACATATCACAATGGGACGATAATAGCTTTTTTGCTTATTTGCTCTGTTTTAAAAGCTATTTCCTATCTTTGTAAGTCTCTGTTTTACTGCCGTCGATAAAAACACTGGAGTTTTACATATTTTTCCCCATTTTGATCAATGAATTACACATTAAACAAAAACAAAAGAATTGTTAAACAGAATCCATGTAGAAATAAAGTGACATTATATACAAAAGCTATGGGGTCATTAAACTGCTTAAACCAAAATACAAATATACATAAAGTTCTTTTTTAAAACAAACATTTGTGCCCATTCACCATTTTTGCTCAATTTCATTCATTCCCTCCACTTTTCCTAACTTATTAATTTTATCTATAATTTAATTTTTCTTAATTACAAAACATTAAAATAAATCCATCATTTGTGATTTTAGTTGAAATTAAAAAACTTACAAAAATATATTACTCTTTCATTATTATTCCAAACAATCAAATACACTTCAAGTCAAATTTTCGTGTAAGCGAAAATATCGAAATTTCATGAATTTCTTTCATATTCATTTGATATCATTATGAATAAATTGTAATACTACCTACAGCAATTATTTTAGAAAGAAAAATATATATGAATCCCAAAAAGTAAAATAAAAACTAATTAAGTGAAAGAGAAAGTAAAACAAATGAGAGATAGAGTTTCTAATGCTTATGAGCAGAGGTGCAAGGAGATGGAATGTAACTATGATCAGAAGGTCTAAACCTAAGCTGACAGCTAAGGTTACACTCAAACTTAACCGATCCTAATGGTCCGACTCGCCACCGAGTTCTTGAGCCACCTTTGAGCTCGAAAGTAATAACATCTTTTTTAACCGCATAGTCTACAGCTTGCATCATTGTTGGATTCAATGGTATTGGATATGACTGAACCAAGTAAGGAAGGAACATTGATTTCTCTTTAACAACTTCAAACTCAGGCGCTTTTAAAATCGCAATAGGTTTGCCTTCATAGCTTAGCTTGAACTCAGTTTCATCAAACAACGCATGAGCCTTAGCGTTATCATTCTCTACGCGAATCACAATCGTTAACTGCGTTTGCAAAACTCCAACTATATCATACCTGATCAATCAAACCGAGAAAAGAAAAAGATATCGATCATAAATGAGAGCCAAGATTCATCATGATCAATAAAGGGAAGAGTTGCGGAAAATATAACAAGTACTTTAAGAAGTCGAGGTGAGCATCCGCGACACTAATGATGGGAACTCGAGGATGAATGACCAGGTAACCAACGAAGACTATAATGCCACCAACGATTACAACAATAGAGATTATGGCACAAATGATGGCTGCACACCAGATGAAAGGACTGGTACCATGACGAGAAGTCAATCTGGGCATTATTATGGGGTTTACCAGATCGGATTTTAGTTCGGGTTCGATGAGACAGCATTCAGGCTTTGGGACCAACGTTCTTGGCCTTTTGGTTGGTTTGGGGTAATGTTTGAGAGAGGATAATGGAATTTGAAGGATTTGGTACTTAACCCTACTTGGTGGGGAAAGTCTTGGTATCTTTCTTTACTTTGGGGTAAAGGCAAAATGGGCTTAGCAAGTAACATACATAATTGGATAAAGTTGTATACTTGCTAAATTTTAAGGAATCTTCTTCTTCTGTACATAATGTCTAACGTAATTCTTAACTTGTAAGTCTTACTAACTTCGCTAATGTGTACATATGTAAATCAAATAATAAATATCAGAACATATGATGCATATATATACTTAATGATTTGCGTTTACCAAAAAGGTTCGTAGTACTTTTTGTTTTCTCTACATGAACAAACATTCTCTCCTGAGGCTAAAGTTCATCAGATTAAAAAAAGGAACATGAACTTGCCAATATGATATGCCTACACATCTCGCGATGTGGTAACCATACAACTGTTTTTACCCAAAAAGCTGAATTTAAAACTTTAAAGAAGGGCTAAGAGTAGAAATGTGTGTACGCGAGTGACCAATAAAGCCTTGGAAGATAGAAACTCAGCAGGTCAGAAATGTGTGTTTCTGCCTCGGCCTCTCCCACCAGAGTAGTAACCATAACCCGAGTTTGAGTAGTAGTTGTTGTTGTTGTTATTATGGTATCCGCCTCTGTAATTGGTTTGTGCAGCGAGATATGCACCCTGACCTGGTTGTAGTGGAGGTGGCCTTTGAAAATTATTACCAAATGCCTGAATAAAAAGATAAAGAGAGCAAAAACTC